TAAAACTATAATTTCTGAAAAGAACATTTCAGTATTTATTGCTCTGCACAAATTCCCTGTGAATAATAAAAAATGTTGAACCGATTTCTGTTTATATTTACAAAAAAAAATAAGTATAGTATATGAGTATATAAATCAAATAAAAATATGCATTAACATAATAATAATAAATGAACCGTCAAACTCTAACCAAAGCTGTTAACCATAAAACATAACAAATTATTATATTTGTACTTAGCTATTGTAACAATAATATCACAGAAATGCTTCCCTAAACATACAAAATTTAAAAATTAAATAAACCTTACAAACAAATTAATGTATAAAATAAGGTACATGTCTTTTATGTATTTAAAAATGAATAACTGTTACTTCAAGTTTAATTATACAAAAGTACAATATTACTAGATAATAAATATTGTCACAATTTTGGAAATAATTTTACAATGTACTTGTACTAAATCACAATTTTAAGTACAGTACCTATTTATAAGATTAAGACTTGAATACAAGTTTTTAAATAAAAAATATTTTTGAACACAAATACTGAAACTATAGATGTGTTATAATAAACAACAATCAATAATAAGTGATTATTACAACAAAAAAATTGTTAGACCGCAGGTCGTGATTGAAAACAAAGACACATTTAATAGTAAAAAATATAATATATATAAATAACAAAAAAACTGTCTTAATAATGATTAAGCTCTATAATTTACCACAACTTGTAAGTAATAACAAATAAAACATAAAAAAATATTAGAGAATAAAATTCTTAACCAACTATTATTATTATATTATTATTAAGCACTCATTATACATTATATTTGTAGACATATAAAAATAGTTTTGGTAACAACGGTAACGGTTGTACTCTTATGAACAACAAAAAGGTTAGGTAAACATTAACATTATAAATAATAATGATTTATATATTGTTTGTAAGCGTTAATGAACACATGGAATTAATTTAAATATTTGACACAGCTCAAAATTACAGGTCATTTCTTTCACAGCAATACCAAATTTAGTTTGTAAACGTTAAATAATCTGTAGGACAAATCCAGTAACAGATTTATAATACATAGTATAAAATTAGGTTGCTATTTTTATATTAAATTTGGTATAAAATCATTAAACAAAATAGTAAAAAAAAAATAATAATGAAGCTCTTATATCAATTACAAAATTTAGATCTCTTTGCACGGCAAGAAAATACCTATATGGCTATATCAATATTAGCAAACAGATTACACAAGTTAAATTAAAAATTATTATCTTATGATTTTGTCTTAATTAACATATAACAGGTACACTATTAATACATAAAAAAATACATATTTATATATTCTGTATGTTTACAACCAATTATAGTCACGGTTGTAACAAGTTTATTTTAACACTGTGCAATAACATACATTACACCACTACTATTAATATGTTATTTACAACAATTAGATGTGTAGCACTAGGAACTTATGAGTACTGGTTTTGGTCCCCATTATAACATACATACAAAATATAAAATCAAATTTACGATCTGAAAACAAAAACATAGTTATTATTCCTTTTTTAATATTATCCCAAAAAAAAAAAAAAAAAAATTATAATAACATGCCCATAAAAGCAATATTTAAAAACTAAAATGGTTTATTGACCGTGTCATTCTTCTATAGAACATGGTTTGGTATAATATTGACAACGGCAATCTTAATCTTATATCCATAAATTATAATAAACATCATTTACAAAAGATGAAATAGAACATAAAATTATTTAACAAACCACTTAAATATTTATATAAATTATATATATATATATAATATATAATATGTAATAAAATGAATTTAACAATTCTCTGAAAAAAATAACTCTCTGAAATTATTGAAATATAGCACTAACATAGTATGCATTGTTTGAAGACTAGATTATATAAAATATATATTTTTTAACTTTGCACTACGTATTGGCTTTAAAAAGCGTATTAACTGATGACAAGTGGTGTTATTAAATCTATAAAAATATTTGACATAAGGATAAAAATATATCTATATATTATGTATAATATATATATATAAATGTAAAAAAAATATATATTATATTACTGTAGTAAGTCAATAAAGGTAAAAAGTGCAATTGTAGTTTTATATATTAAGTCAAAAATAATTTATTTTTAAAAGGTTTGTATACCTAAAATAAATATATAATCTGAAAAGGTAAATGCATATGAACTACTATTGATGACTGACTAGATAAATATGTATATTATTATAATATATAATTAATGTTTTATTTATGGAACTATTATTGTTGTTGATGAAAAACTTGATTGAACCCTGGTAATGGTGTAGTGCCTGTTTCCGAAGTTTGTCGTAAAAGAGCGGAGAGTATTTCTGATGAAGATGTAAGATATTCACCAACTTGAAGTTGTGTTGGCTCATGTCTAACTACATGTTGAGTAGGCAAAATAGTTGATTCATGACTTGTTAGTACTGAAAGATTAGGCTCAATATTAGTTAGAGTTGAAGATGGTATCAAAGTAATCAATTGAGATAATCCAGGCATTTCAGGGTTTGTTGACTCTTCATAATTATCTGCTAGCTGGTTGGTCAAGGTTGTATCAAATACTTTCAGTTCATCAACTGGATATGACGCTTGAGGTTCATAGCTTATAACTGGTAAATCGACTTCACTGGACGATCCAGCAGTTKGAATAACTGTTTCATTATCATTTTCACTATAATTAAAACTAGTTATATTAGACGAATGGAACATTTCTATTTCTGACATTGTTGAAGAATTTTCTTGTTTTATGAAATCTCCACTAGTAACTGTTTCTGCTACTTTTCTTTCTATCTTATATGGCTGACCACATGTCTCAAGATAAATTGCTTCAACCGATTTACTTTTATACAGTTCAGTTGGTTTTTTTGGTTTTGATTTCTTACTAGCATTGACATTATGACTCTTTTTTATGTGCCGGGTAAGATGATCTTTGCGACCAAATCTTTGCGGGCAAAATTGGCATAGGAAATCTCGCAGGCCAGTATGCACAACCATGTGTCGACGAACATCCTTACCAGTGTAAAAACTACGGTCGCAAAAGTTGCATCGATATTTCTTATCAGCTGGAGTCTTTATTACCCTCGATCCTGAATGTATTTTCAAATGGTACATGAGTTCATCTTTGGATTCAAATACTTTACTACAGATCTTACAGTCAAGGAATCCTTCTTCTACAGAATGTACAGCTATATGTTTACGATAACTAAGCACTGAACTGTACTCTTTTGAGCAACCAGGACGATCACATTGTAAAGTACGTTTAATGGGATTATGTACCTTAGCATGATTTTTTAAATGGTCTTTCCTATGGAATGTTCGATCACAAATTGTACAATGGTATTGACGTTGATCAGAATGTATTAATACATGACGAACTAGTTTAAATTTTGACGAAAAAGCTTTTGAACAATGTTTGCACACAAACGGTTTTTCACCAGTATGTGAATAAGAATGTTGTGTCAATTTACATGGACTTGTAAACGACTTAAAACATACTTGACATATGTGTCGACCTCTCAACATCTGATTGATTCCGGGTTGTTGTTGTTGTGACTGTTGTATAGAAGTACTTGAACTCTCACCACTCTCCGTACTCTCAGCCCCTGTTGATCTTTGGCTATCGGCTATACTCACTGTGCTTTCAGGCTGTTCATGACATTCATCAAACAGCTGACGTTTAACTGTGGCTGGTAATTGTAAAGTTTTTCTGTTCTTTTTTTTTGATTGGTTAGAAAAAGTAGGATCGCTGATTGTAGTTGGGGTGGAAGACAAACATACACATACATTTTGCTGCCCAGTTTTACCTTGAACAGGTTGATTACAATTCGGACATAATTGAAAAACATGTGATCGCAATTGGCGACCTGGTGAAATCTGGACATTGGATTCATTTTTTGGCCATTGACAGTCTGTAAAATAAAAAAATAGACCGTCAACTTACATGGTCCTATAAACAAATCAAATAATTCTTAATATATTTAGACTATTTAWAGTATCAACTTTACAATCTAAATATTCACATACACAATTACTTACCCATTATATAATTAACATTTCAAATCTATCTAACACATAACACTAAAATCATTAATTTAAATARCAACATCAATTTTTATCATWATTTTATATAAATTATTTTTGGTGTTAATCCATTTTTTATAGTTGTAGTTTTCAATTTTTAGAGTAGTTTAAAAGATAAAACCCTTCTATAATGTTTAGGCAGAATACAAATTCAGATAGTTAATATTAAAACAAGTGTAAGTAAATAACAGTCAGAATAACAGATTTATATAAATTTATTTTTATATTATTTTATAATAAATTCACTTTATTTCCCTGTGCAAATAATAAGTTACTTATAAATTCATAACAAAACTGTATTCAAAATTATGTCAATTATTCTATTTCTACTTAATAGAAATTAAATAAGAAACCAATTACATTTTTTATAAATGTACCAGGCCCATTTAGACATCAGACAGTACCTGTTTAAATTTAAAGAGTAAACAACAAACAAAACATGCTCTGTACAGATACTTAATTAGATCTCTAGTAAAACATAACATACAGCCATCGGCTAAAAATTAGGAAATTTAACAACCAACAGAAAATACTAAATATGTATGGAAATTAAAATCATAGATTTGTGCCCTGTAGGTATAAGATCAATTTTTAGTGCACTCATAAAATTAAATAGGTACAAGAGTAATAACAATAATTCTAAGGAATATTACAATATTAAAATTGTGATTATTTGATGTATTTTTTTTTTTTTTAAACATGTTTAATCTGTATACTATCATGGACAAGCACTAAACTTTAAACGTATAATGTAGAAAATAAAACATTATAACAATATTTAGGACGAAAATATCTCCAATTAATATTTCCTTAAAAAAATTAAACAACTTTTAAAGGATACTTTAATCAATATAATAGCTAATCATATCTATGATGACACTATTTAAGTGCCTTGTCAGTAGCTARGTAAAGCATTTAATCTAATAATCGACAATAATAGCTAACTTAAACAAGTAATGGCTGTTGGTGTACTTATATTTAACTGGCATTGCAGAATTAGTTTACTATGAAAAAACCAAAAGATTTTTTAAGAAACGGATAATATAAGCAAGCTGGTATTACACACCTTTGGATCCCATACCGAAGGCATATTCCTTGTGTTTAGGCAGTGCGTTTCCCTGTCGGCTTGTGGACCGATGGACGTTGAGTAGATGGATGTGGTATCCAAACAGTTSGGTGCGAGCGAAACGATGACTGGCAACTGATCAAGCGATATGGTAGACCGCGTACCCGGACAACCGCGGGGAGGCCAGACTAGGTTTTGCGAACGGTGTGCGACGGGATATTACCGTCGAACGGCCGTGGCAGCGGAGGAGCAAACGACCACCACACGGGCGCCGGGAGTCTGCTGCTGCTGTCGCTACTGCTGTYGCACAGTTGTTGCCGCTGTCGTTGCTGATGCTGTAGCCGCGGCGGCAATCGGTTGTAACACACGGCGGGTGTCCGTCTCCGGCGCGGCGATTTACTTTCGTGCACCTCGCGATGGCCGTCGGCGATCGTGGCTCTGGTCCGCGGCAAACGATTCTCCGACAGGGACAGGCACCGTGTGATTCGCCGACGACGGAACCGAGCGAGAGAAACACGGACGATTTCGCATTGTTATCAAATGCGCCCTTGAGTAACAGGCATCAGCGGCGGCGGCGGCGGCGGCGGCGGCGGTGGTGGATGAGGATGAGGAGGAGGAGGAGGACGACGGTGGTGCATTGTTTTTGTTTTGTTCTGTCGTTATTTTTTTTCCTCTCTTCTACTCATACTGCGAACAGGCAGATAACGTTCCGAGACCGCGCGCGCACGTTCCGTCCGTAGCAACAGCAGCTGATGTCTGATCGCCACTTGTCGGCTATTGTTCGTTGTCGACATGGTCGCGGTTTTCTTTTTTTGTTCACYGCTCTCGGTAATTATTTCGAGAATTTATTTTTTCGTCTCCTTCCTACGCTCGTTTCACACCACTGTGTCTACACGACCACGACGAGACGTCTTCGGTCTAGACGGTCTACTACCGAATTTCCGGCTGCAGCACAAATCCCCGAGCAAAGAAAATCGAATGGCTTCTATAAAATCTAAAAGTATAAGAACGGCACGAGAACCTATCTAACTTACTGAGATACTGACACAGTAACACGTCCTTTTCTCCTCCGCCGTACCATTAGATARGTTACTATCTAAACTCGTGTTTGACGAACGTTCATCATGAAAAAGTGAAACTTGAACAAAAGAAGTATCTCATTCAATATATGTCATTAATATTTATGGAATGATCAAAATAAATTTGTTGTTTTTAATCACCTACCGATACGGAATTATACATTTGAAATATATTTTAATTAATTATTATATAGGTACCTACCTACTATAAAAATATAAATTTCATAAACAATAACAAATTTATATTTATATGTTGAATTTTCATTAAATCTTATTTAGCAGCTTAAATGTGAAAATTTTGTTATTTTGTCCCCTACTGAAAAGYTACCTTTGGGCACCCATGCTAATAATAGTTGCTTATCCCAAATTTGTTATAATTCAATAGACATAACTACATAAATTATTTATAAAATGCTCTTAATTTGGCAATTTGTATTATTATTATTA